GAAGGAGGTTTCACATTAGGAATTTCCCAATCTGATGAAATGAATCCCAATGATGAAATAAAAAATCCTTCCCTTGGTCATAGGGGATAGGCAGGAAAGAATATAAATGTAATTCCTGAATACTTAATAAATGAGATATTTGTAGAGCATTTTGCAAATCTTAAAGCACTATTTAAATGCTAGCTATTATTATTACTATTTCATAAGGAAAATTATTATAATTAGGTTCACTTTTAACTTTATATCTAAGAAAAATTTTGTCATTTAAACAAATCCAAGTTGCTCATCTGCTCGCATGGCTTCAAATGTAATGGGAGTCACCATCTTTATTCCTTCTGGTGAGTTGGAGAACTAGCAGGCTTTACCATTTGCCCTACCTCTGCCCTCCAAACTCACAATATTGTCATTTGATTAAGAACCCTGGGCCTTGTTATCTGCCTTGTTGATGAACTTTCTTTTATGTGCTGTCTCTCTCAGCTCCCTGCCTCCTTGCCCCTCGCTCGCCCTAGGTTAGATCCTTGAGAGCAGGGACAGACTCAGTTTTTCTATTTGTATCCCCTGAATTAACACAGTGTATGGAACAGAATAAGCACTTGATAAATGCTTTCTTTACCTATTCACTGAAGCTCTAATAAATTTTAATTTTTGCATTTTCTCTGCTTTTGGTCAATCTGCAAGATATTTCATAATGAAAGGTTCCCAGCTGAGAAGATTGGGAGATGAGCAATGGGAAGTTTGAGGAGGCATAAAAAGGTTTGGGAATGACACTGTGGTAAGAAGGATAGTGAATTGATTAGGGAGGTGTAAAAGGATTGTCTTGGCACAGTAAGGACCCAGTTAAAATCATGTAACATAAAGGGGGCAAGGATCTTGAAAGAAGAAGATAGTGGAGAGGACTGGTTCATCAAGGGGTCAAGATGGAGAATGGAGAAGAGCATAGCCAGTCCAGGAATAATGAATGACCTGAGAAAGAACTAAGGGATTGAAAGACTGGAGGTTATGGTGAGGTTGAAGAAAAGGTTGAGGATGTCAGGCAGAGGGAGAGGTGGAAGGACCATTGAATCTGATTAGGAAAGGGAATTTCAGAGTTCATGAAGAGGAAGTGGAATAGGTGATGGCTAAGTCAAGGTTATGACCATCTTTGAGTGTAGGTGAGATAGGGTGGAAGAGCAGGTCATGGGAAATGAGTAAACTGTGGATTTGGGAGGTTAGGGTGTTTGAGAGAGTAGGTATATATACATATATATATATATATATATATATATATATATATATATATATATATATATATATATATATATATATATATATATGAAGTACTGGTGAAATTTCATTGTCTATGGTGCTTTTAAGAATAATGTCATTTGTTTCTCTCTTTAAATTGGGTCTATTTTTACTGTTGCCCTGTCTGAGATCATGATTTCTACCCCTACACTTGTGAGTTCACCTAAAGCATGATAAATGTTTTTTTCTAGCACCTCATTTTAACTGTGTGAAACTTTATATTTCGAATCTATTTCTTATAAATAACATACTGCTGGATTCTGGTTTCTAAACCATTGTATCTACTTCCATTTTATGGGTGAGTTCATTCAATTCACTTTCACAGTTATGATTGCTAATTGTGTATTTCCTTTCATCATATCCTCTTGCTTTCTGCTCTTTCCTCATACCCAGCTCTTTGCAAAGAAGGTGGTGGAAGAGGAAGATTGAGATCCACACTAGTGATATGTAATTGAAGCTCTCAGCTTCTAGTCCACTGCCCCGCCTCTCTTCCCTTTTGCAGACTGCTGAGTCTTGTCTTTTCTTTTAATCCTACCTTTAAGATCCCACCCCACCCCCACAAGCTGAGGTTTGTTTTGTTTTTGACTCTTCCCTCCTTGATTCAACTCACCTCTAGTCTTTCTGACTGGAATGCTTAAAAGTCCTCTATTTCATTAAAAATCCATTCTCTAACATCTCCCCCCCCTAGATTATACTTAGTCCTGCAAGGTAAATTATTTTTGGCTATAAACCTTTATCTTTTGCCTTTTGGGATGTTGTATTCTAATTTTTCCCTCCTGCTTTGTCTTGTGTGATACCAACTTGGTTCTTTGACATTTGAACTTTTTTTTTGACTGCTTGTATACTTTTAAAAATCTTTTCCTTCACCAGGAGCTCAGGATTTGAGCTATGATATTTTTTGGGAGTTTTCATTTTAAGAGTTTTTCCAGGAATCAATTGGTGGAATCCCCTATTTTCACTTAACTCTCCTGTTCTCATAAATTTGGAGATTTTTCATTTATGATTTCTTGAAATCAGGTGTAGAGTTTTTGGGGGTGGGAGTGGGGAGGGGTTATGGTTTTATGATTCTTAACACATTTGTTCTTCACATATTTTTGGGTCAATTAGTTTTTTACAATAGATATCTTATTTTTTAGCCTTTCAATTTTGTTTTAATATTTATTTCATGGAATCATTGTCTATTGTTATGGCCTTTGTATGGTCTATTCTTGGACAGGTAGGTGGCACAGTGGATAGAGTGCTAGGCCTGGAGTCCTGAGTTCAAATGTGCCCCCAGACACTTACTACTTATATAACCCCGAGCAAATCACTTAACCCTGTTTGGCTCAGTTTCCTTATTTGTAAAATCAACTGGAGAAGGAAATGGCAAACCACACTAGTGTCTTTGCCAAGAAAACCCCAAATAGGATCATGAAGAGTGAGATATGACTGAATGGCAACACCACAGGTCTATTCTGGTTTTCAGAGAGTCCACTACGTGGGCAATATTCTCTACCTTCTGGTTGAAACTATTTATTCTGCTTTCAATTCTTTCCTTTATTGCTCCTATTTTACTTATAATTCTGTTTTTATTCTTGCTTTAGTTATTTCAGGTTCTTTTAGTAGTTTTAATGAAAAAGACATTTTTTTTCCCTTCTCTGAGGATCTGCTTGTAATTGTTGTGGAATTACTCTCTTTTATGTTTCCTTCTTTGGTGATTATTAACCCATGATATTTCTTAATATACTTTGTGTTTTCTTCTGTTTAACCACACCTCTAGTCTCAATCTTATTGATTTGCTATTCTGTGCCAGGGTTAGGATGTATCCCTTCTCATGCACTTAGATGAGAGCATGTAATCAAGCCCTGACTGTACTTTCCTGGGTTCCTGATAATGGCTTTTACTTTCCTTTCTGTGTTTGTGCTTAGAGCACTGGCAGTCTGAAATGACCTTGCTCAGATCTTTGTGGTTGACTCTCCTTGCTCAAGGCACTTCCATGATTTTCTTCCCCCTCCTTTCTTCCCTTCCCCCACCAGGGCACTGTAGCTTTTATCTCCCCTGGGGCTTCTCTGAGATGCTGTCTCAGACTTCTAGTGTATTTACTTGAGCTACACTGGCAGGATCCTTCCAGCGTCCACAGGTTTTGGCTATCTTCGTGTGCAGTTCTTGGCTGGATAAAGGAGCTTACTGATATTTTTCTTTGAATTTCTTGATCCCTATTCAACCTGGTTCTCTTTCTAGATCACTTCTGGAATAAAAGGAGGAGACTTGAGCTCCACAGAACTTTCCCTCAGCCATCTTAAAGAAAATCTGTAATGTTCCTCATCCCCAGAACTCTCTTAGTACTTAATGTATGTGTGTGTGTGTGTGTGTGTGTGTGTGTGTGTGTGTGTGTGTGTGTGTATTAACCAAACAATTAACAATAAGCGTTTATTAAGTGGTTACCACTTTTGGCTAAGCACTGAAGATACAACAGCAAAAAACAATATAATACTGGATAAGGAAAAGGAACAGTCACTGACACGATTATTTCTTATTCCAGAATAATTTTAGGCCACAATAATAGGTTTTCAGGAAAGTAAGCAAGTTGACTATCACCATCCTTATCTATCTATCGTCATTTATCTATCTGTCCAACATTAACTTTTTTCAAAAAGTTGTACTTGAAAAAGTGCCCTCGCTACTTAATGGCAAAATTTTCCCTATTATGCCATTTACCATGTGGTACCCTGCTAGCTGCAAACTGAGATGCCCGATCTGTACAATGATGTGGGAGTACTTCATGTGCCTCTCAAAACGATACTCCATCTGGAGTCAAATTTTTGCAGTCTTCAACCATCTATCCTGAGTCCTCCTCACTCCACTTACGTAGGACTGTGTTTACGTCTGTTTCTTCTAAACGCATTATACCATATTGTGGGGAACTTTTTTTTTTTAAACACCAAGGGCTGAATTCTCTGTGCCTTAAAGCTCCACAGATACTTTGTAACCCTTTCTTTTTTCCCCATTCACACCCTCCCTCCCAGTCTGCTCTCCAGCGCAGGCGGGTACCAGGCAATTCCACGTGCCCGCCCTAAGTCCGAGAGCAGAGCAGCATTCACGAAGTTTAGAAAAGAAAGAATGAAAAAAAAAATAGAGTTGTGGCTTTAAGAGCCTCCTTTCCATTTTACTCTATGTTTACATAACATAGGGGACGGTTCCAACGTTGCCATCGCGGGGGGGGGGAGGAGGCTGTTTCCTTTTCTCTCTCTTTTTCGGGGGGCGGGGGCGGTCGCGAGGTGAGGGGGGAGGCCTCCGCCGCCCCACGTGCTCCGGAAGGGGGAGCCCTGTCGGCTCCGAGGCGCGCTCGGCCGCACTTTCTTGGGGGCGGGCTCGGGGCGGCTGCCTGCGGCCGGAGGCGGGGGTGGCTCCGCCGGGCCGCGGTTCGCTCCTCCCCCGCTTCACTGCGCTCCTCCTCCGGCTGGCAGCTCGCCGGTCGTCCGGTAGTCCGGTCGTCCGGTCGCCTCGGGCCCCGCCGCTCCGGGACGGCCGCCGGGCTCCGCGTTGGGGCCGCCTCGGGGGGAGCGCGGGCTCGGTGCGGGTCCCGGCGGGCGCGCGGGCGGGGAGCCCGGGAGCCAAGACGGAGCCCCTCGGGGACTGGCCGCCCCGCGGCCCCCTCACCACCGTCCCTTTCCCCAGCTCCCTGGCTCCCTTCTCCGTATGGGATTGTAGCCGCGGCGCGGACCCGGCGGGGATCGCGCAGGAGGCGGCGGCGCCCGCGGGGCCAGAGCCGCCGGAGCCTGCGGACGACGAGGACCAGGAGGACGAGGAGGGAGCCGAACGCGGCTCCATGTTCGCCCCCGGTCCGGAGGAGCCCTGCGCCCCCGGCAAAGAGCCGCGGAAATACGGGGAGCTCGTGGTGCTGGGGTGAGTGAGGGCCCTGGAGCGCCACCCCCACCCCGGGGATCCCGGGGGGTCAGGGCCGTCCATCAGCCGGCATTTTTTAGGCCCCCACTGTGTGCCGAGCTCTGTGCTGAGCGCCGGGGATACAAAGAGAGGTAGGAGACCGTGCCTGCCCTCGAGCAGCTGCCAGTCCTGGGGCAGACGGCGCGCAGGCAACTGCGTGCAAATAAGCTGCGTGCTGTAACAGTGCAGAGATCGGATCGGCCGAGTTAGGGGCCCGAGGCGGGGGTCGTAACTCCGGCTGGGGCCATTGCAGGGCTGGGACGAAAGGCACAGACCCTCCGTGGGTGTTACATTCGTGGCAGCCTCTTTCCAAGCTCCCTTGAATATGGGGTGCCCAGGGAAGTGTGTGTATGTGGGGGTGGGGGGATGATGTGGGAACTTATAACTTGTTCCTGGGCCTCTCGGGCTGCTGTTGGGGTAAGGGGTTGTATGTGTGGGGAGGGGGAGGGGGTGTTGCTGCTCTGCTTCTCCATCTAAATTGCCAAGCCTGAATTTTTTTCCCCTCCTTCTTTCTCCCCTGTTACTCCTTTCTCCCTCCTCCTTTCTCTTTCCTTCTCTTTCTCCTCTTCCTCGTCTTCCTCCTCCTCCTTCTCCTTCCCCCTCCTCTTTTTTCTTCCTCCTCCCCTCCCCTCTTCTTTCTCTTCCTCTTTCCCCTCTCCTGGTCTTTCTCCTCCTCGCCCTCCTTTCCCCCCCTCTTCCTTTCATCCTTCCTCCTTTCTCTTCCTCCTCCCCTCTCCCCTTTTCTTCTTCCTCTCCACTTCCTTTGGGGTAGAGAAGTCTGGGGAAGTTCAAGAGCTGGAGGATTAGTGGGGGGAGGGTGGAATAAAGTTAGTGTGAGTCACTGGAGGATCAGGTATGGGGGGCTGAAGGCATAGTTTATTCTGCTTCTTGGGGAGAGGCTGCGGCGGAATAAGGTTATGGTGAATCGCAGGAGGAGGACCAGGTTCTAGGGCTAGAAGATTAGTAGCGATGTGTCTTGGAGGGGGAGGGGGGTTGTGTGCGGAATGAGGTTACTGTGAATAGCTGGCAGGTTCAAGGGTTGGAGGATTAGTAATAGTGATGTGGCTTTGGCTGCTGTGGGAGGGTGAGGTCCCTGTGTATCCGAGACCTGCGGTCTGGAAGGTGGAGAGTTTGTGAGATGCCCTGGGAGTGATGGAAGGAACTGCATTGAGAGGGAGGATTGGGGGCGATTCGTGCTTCCCGAGGGAAATGAGGCTTTGGGTGTTGCTGGTTGTTTTTTTCTTTGGGCACCGTCATCTCCTTTCCTATGGTGCTTTTTATTTAGTGGTCTCAGACAGACAGATGTTGAGACTTTTTTGGGATGGGTACTAATTTGCAACCCAACTTGGGAAGAAGCAGGCAATTACTTATATATATTGTTATGGTGACGGGAGTGGTTACAGTCTGGGGAAGGCCCTGTGGTGAACTGTCTGGACCAAACCCGTTGGCTTGGCCCTCTGTGAACTTTTCCCCATTTGGAGTTTACGAGTTCGTTGGGTACAGATGTTAGGAATTGGCTCCTTCTTGATTTGTGGGGCCCGAGGTCAGGGCTGGGCTCCAGAATTGGAGCAAGGCTGTGTTCTTTGGACACTAGCGCTGCATCTTGAAGGTGGGTGGCATCCCCGGGAGGGATGCTCCACAGCAGTGAGTTAGATACAGCTCTCAGACAGAGAGGCAGCAGCAAGGAGCTCACAGAGCTTTAGGTCTGTCCTACTGGTGAAGACCATATTTTGAGGATAGTAATTATCTATAATCATTAAGCTGAAGCACTTAGAAACGTCATTTTACCTACTCTTTCCTTGTCACATTTTCCATTATTTATCCTTAATAAATAGATAAAGGGCTGTAGGCTAAAGGGGATAAAGAGAGTGGTGAAAGGGGGATATTTTGGGAGGCAGAAGATAATACCAACGTGGATTAGTTTCTGGGGTGGAAATGTTTATTCTTGTTTAAATATAGAGTTCTGAGTTTCATTATTTTTTAGTTAAAATAATATGAAACTTTTTTTCAGGACATCACAGACGCAGGTGAGGAAAAGAAATGTAAGCAAAATTAAAGGCTTCTGACTTGATTTTCAAAAAAGGTTATTCTACTCTTAAGGTTTTCTAAGTACTCTGTGTCCCCACAACACCCATGTGACAGAGGTATCAGAGATATTATTAGACCTTTGTTTTTACTTATGAGAAAACTGGAGTTTGGAAGAGTTAAGTGAAACTTGCCCAGGGTCACACAGTTAGTAAGTTTTTGCAGATGTAATTTGAATTTTGGTCTCTTCTGACTCCAGCGTTCAGAGAGAACTCTTGCTCTCTGTATGCAGCCTTTATTTTGATAGCTGAACTTCTTAAAGCACCACTTAAAATACAATTTTTCTTACAAAAATGTACTGGAACTTTAAAACAGAGAAACATATGATGGATTTCTAGACAAGTGACAGCTCAATATTATCAAGTCCTTACTCTTTCTGCCCCCTTTCCCTTACAGGAATGTTGTTAGCATTAACGATTTTTAGACAGTTAAGTTTCAAGATAAGCATTTTCCTTCATTACAAAAAAAGTTGCATTAAAAATGTTGTGAATGGTAGGGATATGGGAGATGGCTTTCCAAGCATTCAGTCCTGACTTTTGAACTGTTTTCTGCATGCTGAAACTAACAATTTTAGTGGTGGTTAGTGATATTTATATGACTGGCTTCTAGTAAATTTAACTCAGCCTCTTATAAAAGATTCTTCAGAGCTCTTTAAAAATATATATATTTTTGTTATTGAAGAAATCAACGATGAAATGTTTCAAAGAAACATTAAGAGTTTATAATGAAAATGAGAGTATCTTCATTTTTGTGGCATACTGTTTGGGCATCAATTTAAAATTGATGCCCAATGAATATTTGTTTATGTTGTTAGAAAACATATTTTTTTTCCTGACACTTTGCCAATAGGAATAAAATTTGGTTTAAATTGATTAAACTTACAAATAGTTTCCCTGAAAAAGTTGAGGCAGACAAGTTAAGTGACTTGTCCACACAGCTAGTACGTGTCTGAGGCCAGATCTGAATTTGGAAAGATGAGTCTTCCTGACTCTTGGCTCTCCACTTTTATCAGCTGTGCCATCTAGCTGCCCTATGAAGACCTTTAGTGATAAGAAACTATCTTCTATTTGTCTTTACTTCTTTCCTGTCCCTTTTTTTCTCCTTAACTCCCCCCACCCCCATCTCTTCCCTCCTACCGCATTTTAAAATTTTGGACAGTGTTAATTGTTTGGGAGTTTTTTTGCCTTTATGTTTAATCAGCAGTTAGGTGGTGCAATAGAATACTGATCTGGAGTCAAGAAAATCTGAGTTCAAACCTTACCCTAGACCCATGACTAGCTGTTGGTTAAGTCACTTAAAATCTGCCTGCTTCAGTGTCCTCAAGTGTAAAATAAGGATAATAATAACACCTACATACCAGCATTTTTATGAGGGTCAAATGATGTAATGTAGTGCCTGGCACATAGTAACACTTGTTTCCTTTCTACCTTCCTACTCTACATTTACATCCTAGTAATTCCCATGCTTTCATCATAGTTCTGCCTTTTTGGCAAAAGCAGAACGGATTTAAAACCCTTTTCACTTTATATATTTGTTCATTAAGGAAATAAAGATCTCTCTCATGCTGCCAAAAAAATCTTCGTGAGGCACAAGTCTCATTATATTACTTCCTTGCTTAAAAGCTTCTTCAGGAGCTCCCTATGGTCTCCAGGGTTCCTTAGCATGATATTTAAAGCCTTAAAACCAATTTCAGTCTGGCTTCATTTTCTGCCTTTTCAACTTTGGCTCACACTACTCCCTTTCATGGGCCAAATTGACCTGGTAGCTGGCTCTCAAACTCAACATGGCATTTTTCCGCCATTTTGTAGGAAGAGGATTTACTCAAATTCCACAAGATAGTGAATATATTTCCTTTTTCTTTATCTTTGCCATTTGGAATTTTTGGTGCCTTTACTTTGTCTCACCTCAAGTGCTTACTCTTTATCCCTCTGCTTAGTGCTTTTCCTAGAACACTTTGTCTTATCTATCTTGCTCATCATTTGTTCAAATTTGTTCTCTTTTTGCCAAAAAGGCAGAACTGTGACCAAAGCATGGGAATTACTAGGATGTAAATTTAGATTAGGAAGGAAGAAAGAAAACAAGCACTACTGTGTGTCGGGCACTATACTGTCTCATTTGATCCTCATAAAAGCACTGGTAGGTAGGTGTTGTTATCCTCATTTTAACCTTGTGCTACATTTACATATTGTAGAAATGATGTCTACCTAGAAGAATGTTAGCACCTTGAGGGTAAAGGTAGGCTCTATTTTCCCCCCCCATAATAGTCCACAGTGCTCAACAATGCTTTGCACATAGTGGTTCTCAACAAATGTTTTCTGAAGTAAGTTGAATTGAATTTTCATTGTTGACAAAGTTATGGCTATTGTAATTTTAAACTCTCAGAACTTAACCCTTTAAATGTTTGCAGTGTCAGGTCTTTTCTTCTGCCTTCCAAATGGAAACATTATTTGGGAACTAGATCAACTCAAAGTCAGTAGTTTGAAAGTTCTCTGAAAATATAGTAAAACATTGTAAAAGAAACAGATAAAATAAGCATTCTAAAGAAGGTCTGTTAATATAGTTTATAGTAAGGCAGTCATCTTGGAGGTTTAGATGCCTTTATGTAAAAATAAGAAATGGTATCATAGTTAAGACTGTTGTGTCAATTGCTTAATTAACAAATTAGGTTCAAAAAGCAGTTCACCATTTATATTGAGTGGTTTGATTTACTATATTATCAAATTGTTCAAAGAACTTATCAGATCATTAAATTTTGAATACCCATTTTTTCAGCTGTTAGCTGAGAGGTGATATTCAGTGAAACTAAGTGCCTCAAAGATGAACAAGGAATAGTTGAAATTAAAACAGAATCTCCCACAAAAAACCCTAAAAAAAAT